GGGGACTGAGGGGGCCAGAACTGAACTGGGGCTGGTGGTGGGGGAAGAGGCCTCGACCACTCTCAATGGGAACCTTCCATCCCAGAGCCCAAGGGCCAAGGGGCAGCCCCCAGGCCCCCTGACCCAGTGGCAAAGGTATGGAGTTGGGATGGAGCCTGAGCAGGTAGGGAGCAATCCTGGCCATAGGCCACCTGGGAAGAGAGGGAGGCCAAGGGAAAGTAAGATGGAGGGAAGGGGACTCTGGAGTAGCCCTGGATTAGGGGTTGGGGGCAGAGAGTGACAGCAGGCAGGGGGTGGAGGTGGGGCACTTGATGCTACTCTCCTCCTCCCAGGGTTGGGTGGGGCTGGGTGAGAAGGGAGGGGGACTGCCCAGCTGGAAGAGGCCTTGTCTAATTGTGCCTGATTAGTAGAGAGGGAGAGAACAGGACAAGTGATTAATAGGCCCGGCAGTCACCGGCGGGTGGGGAAGCAGGGGCGGGCAAGAGAGGGAAGCCTGAGAGTCCAGACAGGACAAGGCCATGAGGCACGAGGCACGAGGAGGCCACAGGTCCGGGTTCCCTGCCTCATGGAGGACTGCTGGGGGAGCCCCACCGAGAGGGATTGGGTCCTGCCTCCCTTTTCCAGGAAGTGGGATGGAGTGGAGAAGACCAAGGCCCCAGCCTGTATTTGTCAAGCACACGGCTTTTCCAGACACCCCAGCCCCTTTCCACAGAGACAAGGCCCCACTACCCCCAGCCCAACCAGGAGCGCAGCTGAGGAGCACCAATCAGCTGATATCTTTTGGTCTCAGCTGTCATTCTTAGCCCTGCCCCATCCGGACAGCCTGACCCTCATGCCAGGAGCCAGTCTGGAGCCAGCCACATGTTGCTATTCTCAAAAAGAGCTCAGCCTCTCAGGCACACAAACTACATCTCAAGTGCCCCAGTATCCAGGTGGCACTACCACACGGGGTGGCTCATTTCCATCAGCACAGAACATTCTATTGGACAGGACTGGGCTTGGGAGGGCATGCACACGCCTGCACATCTGCACACACGTGTGATCACCTGGGAAGCTTGGGTACCATAGGAGTGCCAGGGTGGGTAGAGGAAGTGAGTGGAGATTCGCGGATGGAGAGCGGCTGCTGCCAGGGCACAGGGTGGAGAGCAGGGGGTGTGGAAAACAACCAGGCCTCCAGCAGCAGGCTGAGCCCCCAGCACATGCTGGGGGCTGGGCTACGTGGTGAGCCCTGGCAGGAGTCCACTTTTTAACATTCAGGACCACTGGAATGGGCTTGGTTTCAGGGTTCGGTGGTGGAATTCAACTCGCCTATGTGGGAGACCTCCGGTTTGATTTCTAGTCCCCCCTCCCCCTGTGCATCTCAAGTGGGACCACCACCCATCTGTCAGGGACGGGGTCGGGTGGGGCCTTGTGTGTTACTGAGATACTCAAGAAGTGTCCGTGTAGTTTCTGGACAGACTAAAAGGGACTTGGAAGAAAGGCTTGGTGACCAAGCTACTACAGCTCCCAAATCGGCCAACCAACACCTGACCCTATTTGGATTCCAGAGGAAAGGTCGCAGCCGAGAGGGGAGGGGGGAGGAGGAGGCAGGGAAGGCAACAGAAAACACACACATGATGATTCAGGGAGCAACCCAACAGCAGCCAATGCCGACACACATCCTGGATGTTTCGTGGGTGCAGAAACCGCTGCTCGTGGGAGGCTCCTCACTGACAAAGCCACACAGTGGGTCAGGTCGAGCCAAGGTTCGGATCCCAATAGCCTGGCTCACTCCAGAACCCACATGCGGGCAAGGATCCCCTCTGAGAGGAGGAGCTGGGTTCTAGGACAACCCTGACATTTTACCGCTAAAGACAGGAACCTGGGAGCAAACCTGGAGGCAGGAGAGACTAGATGGGGCTTGGTGTATGGTGGTGGGGTGGGGCAGACAGAGGTGGGCTATGGGCTGGGGAAACCAGAATGGGGCTGTTGGTGGGAGGAGTCAGTATGGGACTCCGTGAGGAGGAGGGCCAAGGGAGGACTGGGTGGAGGAGAACCTCCCCACCACCCTCTGTGGGTGTCCTCGTCCTCTCCTTTCCAAACCTCGCTGCTACCCAGCCTCTCAACTTCCCAGCCCCTCTTCAGCCCCGAGGGGCTGCTCCCTGTGAACCAGGTGTTCACACGCCAGGCCCCTTGCTTGGCAATGAATCCTGACCCCTTATGACACAGTGTGCAGGGCTGGTTAACTCTTTGCATGGTTGGTTAAGCCTCTGAGCCTCCTCATCCCCACTCTACCCGGAGACTGTAGGCTGCTTGAGGACAGGGACAGAGGGCCAGGGGCTCCTCATCCTCTGTCCTGTCCCATAGCACCTAGCAGGTAGCCTGGCACCCAGTGGGCCCTCTGGAGCCTCCGGGTGATGGTGGAGTGGCTGTCTTCTGGGGAGTACGTGAGGGGATATTAGGGAGTGTGGGGGTGAGAGCTATTGAAGTGGTAGAAGAAGCAGGAGTGGCAGCTTAGGGGACTGGGGGAGGGTGCATTACCCAGAGTAAAAATAGGCTGGAAAATGTGACATTTATTAACTTGGATTCCAGAGGAAAGGTCACAGTAGAGTGGGGAGTGGGGAGTGGGGAGGAGGAGACAGGGAAGGCAACAGAAAACACACACAGCAGCCCCTTACCCAAAGCTGTCACCACCACCGCCACCAGCAGCCTGCCTCACCAACCAAGTGCTAGAAGATTCCCCCCAAACCAACTGGTTCAGGCAGGGACCCCACCACCACCACCACCAGACTCTGCTTTTCCTCCTCCTCCTCCACCCCCGACAGTCCCCGTGGCGTCTATCCTGATTCAGGTCCTCATCAGACCCCAGACCTTCATGTCCACACATCTTCTCCCTGGCCCATCCCTGGCAGGCCATCCCCTCCTCCGCATCTGTGGGCCTGCAACCTAGCCCATTGATTCCAATGGTCTCAGCGTGTGCGTGCGGCAGGCAGGCTGAGCTCCTCCAAGCCAGGTCTAGGGGAGCATGGTGCTCAGCAAAGGTCAGAGGGGCATGGGTGGAGGGTAAGGGGGCTCAGCCAGGCTGAGTGGAGAGCCAGATTCCCCAGAGGGAATGCCTGTCCCCCAGGCTGGCTTCACTCCTCCTGCCCCTGTCTATTCTCCTGGACAGCCGGAACCCCACAAACTTCCCCATCTCTAGCTCCTAGAGTACCAAAAGGAAGTCTCCCTCTACTTCCCAGCCACGCCCAAGAGACAGGGGGATCCCAGCCTCCCTGCATCCTCCAGACACCCCAGCCTGCCCCAAGGCCAGGCAGGACACCCCTGCCCACCTCACTCCTCTCCTCACTGCCCTCCTCCGTCTCTTCCCCCCTCCCAGTGAGATTTCATCACCCCACCCCTTTCCTGCCCACCCTCAGCTGCTGAGACACAAACTCTGCTCAGGGACACAAAGACCCCATTGATTTCTGTCCCCTCAGCACCTGCTGAGACCAGGCTCTGCCCCCCCACCCCCAATCCGGAGGGATGAGGGTGGAGGAGCGAAGAGGTCCCAGAAGCCAGGTTCACACCCCCACCCCTCCAGCTCTGGCTTTGGGGAACTGTCTTTTCCTCGACTGAGGGGCTAGGGTGCATGCACACAGCCGGGCAACAAGCCAAGCTCCCTGACATCTCCCAGAAAATTCCTCCCCGTCCCATCCCTTCTTCTCTCCTTTGGCTGGAGGCACCAGAGGGTCAGGCCTGGTGGGGACCAGGCAGCCAGCTGGAGCCTCTTTAAGGGAGGTCTTGAGGGAGTAAGGGAGTGAGAATGGGGTCCAGGAAGTGTGACATAAATCATCACCTCTGGGCCACCGGCATGGGAGGCCAGGTCTGAGGGGACACCATGTTGACTCCACCGGGTACCAGGGACAAGGATACAAACATCCACCCAGCTGGGGGTCCACTGGGCCTGTGAATAACAGCTGCCCAGTGAAGGTGGGTGGACCAAGGGAGCCTGATGGATACACAGACAGCATACAAGATGCACACACCCTTATGCCTCGGGGAGGGGGGTTGTGGGAGGTGGGGGGGGGGCAGAGGCTGTGCACTGTGTCTACACATGGGTGAGGGCTGGCACCGGCAGTCCAAGCTGTGAGGTAAGAGTGGGCAGGACGGTGGCAGCCACCATGCGACCCTACCCTGGGCCGTGAGGTCAGAACTGGGCTGCGAGCAAGGAGATGAGCAGCCTCCCTGCTGTGCGGGGCGTGGGTGTGCACGTGTGCATGTGAGTGTAGTGACAGGGACGGCGAGTGTGTGTGTGAGCAAGGCAGTGTGCAAGAAACCATGCCCCAAGCAGGATGCTTGTGTGCATGTGTGTGCGCGTGCATGTGCTGGGCAGCAGCCAGGGTGAGTTATGGACATAAGAATGAATGAGTGATTCTCAGTGTAAGATCCCCACGCGGGCAGGGAGCAGGCAGAGGGAGGGACTGAGCAGCCTGGAGCCGGAGGGACAGCATGAAAGAGGGATGTGTGTGGAGCCTGGGAAGGGGATGTGAGCCCCACAGAACCAGAAGAAGCCCTGGCAGTGTCCACCACGCTCTTCTCTAGCCAGTCCAGCCAGTTCCCCAGCTGGACGCCCCAGACACCCCCTCCCCATCACTCTGCTCAGTGAGGAGAGGGATCCCTTAGCCACAGAAGAACAAGAGAGCAAGAGGAAGGTGGGGGTCCATTGGCCCGGTCTTGGGAGGGTGCATCCGCCTCTTCCCTGCAAGCTGACCCCGCTTCAGGATTCCCGGGCCCACTTCCAGGACCCAGGGCCTGGCCCTATAGGAGCAGCGGGACAGAGGAGGAAGAGGAGCACCGAAGCACCAGGGTAAGCCCCTCCAAGCTACCCCCACTCCAAGGCTGGGAAGCCCGAGGGAGACACCAGAGCTAGGGGAGACCTGAGGCCAGCCTCTGGTGGCGGCCAGAAGGGAAACCCTGTGGGAATGGCCCGACGCGCCCTCCCTGGCCACCCCGGGCCGAGTGGAGCAGTTGGCAGGACTCACCACCGAGAAGTTACTGGCAGAGCAGTGGCGCCCACTGAAGTTGCAGCTCTTGAGCATGTCGGCCAGCTGGTGGCCAGTGCGGTTGAGGATGTCCACCATGTCCGGCTCTGGGTAGCGCAGGCCAGCCGCACGGTGCCCGTCCCGGTCTTTGGGGGGCAGCCCCGTCAGATTGGCCAGGTGGAAGATGTCAGCGTCGCTGAGCGCCGAGTGCCGGAAGCGGTTGATGTTGCAGAGGGTGACAGCCGGGAAGCCGGCCACAGGGGCTGGGGCTGCCGGGTCCATGGCCAGCAGGTGGGGGCGGCTGAGGTAGCCCCGGGCCAAACTGGCTGCCTGGTACAAGAAGGCTGCCAGCGAGGTGAGGAGGGCCAGTGTCCACAGGGCTCTGCGCAGTCCGTGGGGGCCCGGCCCACAGGCCCGGCCCAGCCCATGCAGGGTACTGGTGCTGGCGAAAGCGGCCAGGTCCCGGGGGGCCACAGCCCCCCGAGCAGCCCCCAGGAGACTCTGCTCATCCCCTGCTTCCTTCTCTTTTGGTTTCCCATCCTCCTCAGCAAATTTGATTTTGCACACAATCTCGATCGGCATCTGTCCCCGGCTGCTGGGACTGGCCGGAGCCTCCCTGCCCTGTCCCTCTCTGGCCAGCAGCCCCGGTGCGGTGGCGGTGGTGGTGGTGGTGGCAGCGGCTGCTCTTCTCAACTCAGGGCAAGCCAGAGGAGGACAGGGACGGGCTGGGGGGCCGAGGTGGGGGACTCACTCCCACTCTCAGCCGCTCCGCAGCCCGGGCGCTGCCTGTGCCGCCGCTGCCTCTGCCGCCGCTTGTCTCTCTCCTCGATCGTCTCCTTGTGGCTTCCCTTATCAGCACCAGCACAGCTGTCAGCCCCTGCGTGTGTCCCTGCGAGCGCGCGGGGAGCGAGCACTGCTCCGCCACGCCGCGCAGCCCCAGCCGCTCAGCTCAGCATGTGCTCCGGAGCCCACCCCACGCTTAATAATTCAGGACATGTCAACAGCGTTTTGCTGGCGGCCGGGCAGCAGGAACCCGGGCGGGGAGCAGCCCCCAGCCCGGGACTGGGATCCCCGGTTGTCCCTGCCCGATACCTCTTCAGGCTGCCTCCCAAACTCTTGCTACACCCTAGCCACTGGTGGGGGACCCCACTTGGCCCCACTCCCAGGCCACCCAGGGGAGACTGCTGCACCCAGTGTCCTCAGTTCCTCTTGGTAGCTTTCTGGACCTCACCCTGTGAGGGTCTTTCTGCGCCACCCAATCCCCCACCTGGCTCCCCCAGCCTCTGTCTCCAGCACCGGGTCACCACCTCATCCCATTAGCCCACTCCCAGTGGCTTCTAGAAGCTCCTCAGGAAAGCCACTTGTTTGAATGAGGCAGGGGAGTCGAGATGGATAAGGGGACACCTCAGGGCGCCACCACAATTCTCGCCTGCCCTGTGACACTCTTCACACTCCACCATGCCCTCACCCCCTTGGGGAGGCTGGCCCTACCCTTGCTCCCCAACTTGATCCTCAACCCGACCTCAGTCACCCATGCACCAGAGACAAGAGGGTGCCCTCCTAGCTGACCCTCAATGTCCCCAAGTCCCTTGTTACCGCCAGGTTGGGGAGAGGGTCAGGAACAGACCCAAGAGTAGGGGGTTGCATAGGGGGAGCCCCATATGGGGGGGAGGATGTGTGGAACGGAGGGAGAGGAGTAACTCAGGTAGAGGCACTGGGGTGGGGGTGGTGTACTGGGCTTTCCCAGGAGGGGCTATTGCTCTAAGGAACCAGATGTTGGGGTGCTGGCTGCCCAGCAGCATTGGGCAGGGGGTCCCAGGAGGCTATCTTCCTGGGGAGGGGTAAGAGCCCAGGCAGCAGTGCCCCCCCCACCCCCACCCTACTGCTGGCCAGGAGGGGGCTACACCAGTGGTTCTGGGGTGGGGGGCAGTAAGTGAGCAGCTGTGCCCTGGGGGAGCCTCGTGGGAGCTGTGAGGCCTCGGGGGAAGGCAGCGGTTGTCCCTCAGAGGAAAGGGGGCTGATTAATCGGGGCGCTAATGAGCAGCAGGGAGAGGAAGCACGGAAGGGCGGGGGAGGCGGCTCCATCGATCTGAGCCGCGGAACCAGCAGCTGAAAAAAAAGTGAGAAGGGAATCGATCTGAGGGAAACGGCGGCGGCTGCTGGGGCTTAGAGCTGAGGTCCGCCAGCCCTGCCCACCGGCCACCCCTCCCCTTCGGCAGGCCCCTCGCTCCCACCAGCAGCAGCCCTGGCCTGGCCAAGGGGGAGGCACCCAGGAGGGCTCTCCAGGGGGGCAGGGAGCCACTCTGCCCACCCAGGCTGTGAGGCCAGGTCAGGTCCCTGCCCAGGGTTACCCGGCACTCAGCCCACCCACACAGCCAGCCCTGGCCAAGCTTGGCGCCCTGCCAGGGTTCACCAGCACACTCATCAAAGTGGCCCTCCAGGGGTCCCACAGCTGGGCTTCCCCAACAAGTATCTAGATGGACCTTGGTCAGGATCTCCTCAGCTGGGATGAGACCCCTCTAGGGTCAGAGGCAGCACCGGGCTGGGCCTCAGCCTCCCAGAGGGGGGGGTGTGCAGCTGGCTGGAGGGCAGGCTACTGAGTTAGCTTGAGTGATCCAGATGGCACCCTCTGCCCAGCTGCCCCTCCTAAGGTCCCCAGTCCCTAGTGCTCCCCGCTCCTCCCCATTCTCCCCCTTTCTCCCAGTATTGATTTTTCTTCACTGTTTTTTTTTAAGGTGATTTAATTGCTTTTTTAAGGTTACTTCATAAAAAAAAAAAGGTTACTTCACTGGGCTCTGCCAAGAAAATGGGGAGCTATTGTCCCCCCCCCCAAGCTCTCCCCAGCACTCCTTGCTTTGGAGTCTGCACACACCCCTGAAATTCCCTGCCAGCCATGGGCATCTTGGGGTCACCCACTGGCTCCCACACCCTGGCTTCTCTCATGAGCCCACATCACAGGCGGGACCCCGCCAATCTCTGGAAGGAATAAAGTTGGGTGGTAACTGGGCATGGGAGGGGAGAGCTCTGGCCACTCAGAAATGGAGCAGCAATTAGCCGCTTGTCGTCCCCCGCCCACTGCCCCACAGCCAGCTGTCTCCAATTGTCCCCAGCCCTTATCACCCAGTCTCCCAGGGACCTTCCTCAGTGGCAGCCC